AAGCCGAATTTAGCGACAATAATGTCGAGTTTGTTGTCGCTATTCACATCGGCTGCTGCCACAGAGGACGGATTAGAGCTCGTTGAATAGGTCGTTTGAGCAATAAGCGTTCCGTTGCCTGTGTTAAGAAAAACAATGACTTTGTTACCAGCGAAGTCTGTGATAAGAATGTCCACTTTGTTGTCGCCATTGACATCGGCTGCATTGAATCTCTATCAAAGACTGGAACGATATATTCGGTGTCATCATGCACTATCAATTCTTTGCTAACCCTTCTTATTCATTTGTTTATTTAGATCACTAAGTTTTGAAATAAAACAAACATAAATCCATAAAAACATAATAAAACACGACGCTGATTGTATATATCCTACGCTCATAAATAGGTACAATCACTTACTTTCTGTTTTTTACACAGGTTATCGATGGTGAGGAGTTCGAATCCGGAGTCGGATAGACCTTCTGAAATTTCACTGGCTGCGAAACCGATCAATGGGAAACAAGGGTTTCAATTTTACAGTTTCCAGGTCGTCAACACTCAAAAAAATAGGCTTTTTACTAAACTTTTAAGATTTTATAGCTTGAACCTATCAAAGGTTTCGCAAAAAAATGTCCTGAACGTTTACATGATCTATAAAAGTATGAAGGGTTTGGCAGAAACTATACTCAACCTGTACTTGAACTACGGAATGGCAAAGACTTGCGGAGAAAAAATGCCGAACCGTTGAATAAGGTGCGACACTACGACGAGTTTCGCAGGAAACATGCCGAACCATGAAGGATCTTTTAGGAAATATACGAAACCCTTAGGAAATCACGAACCTCTCTAAGGTTTGGTAGAAAATACACCGAAACTGTAGATGAACTACGGAACCATTCCATATATTTCCGTCCGTTCCATACCATTCCGTATATTTCCTATAAGATCCTTCATGGTTCGGCATGTTTCCTGCGAAACTCGTCGTAATGTCGCACCTTATTCAACGGTTCGGTTAGTTTAGTAGAAAGCCTATTTTTTTGAGTGTTGACGACCTGAAAACTCTAAAATTGAAACCCTTGTTTCCCATTGATCGGTTTCGCAGCCAGTGAAATTTCAGAAGGTCTATCCGACTTCGGATTCGAACTCCTCACCATCGATAACCTGTGTAAACTTTCATCAGAATGTTAGAAATTCCCGAAATAAAAAGGCTCGTTTCTCATTGTAATAGACAGACAAATATAGCAACATTTTTCGAATGTAAGACCCTTTTTTTCAGAAAAGGGGATAATACTGGCAAAACAATATTAGCAATGGGCCCAATCGATGCAGCTTTTTGTGCCAAATCAAAATATATCCTTTTTATAATTTCAACAGAAAGAAAAAAGCTTTCAAAATTAGTAAAAACATCAAGGTAAATCTTGCTTTTTTGCCTTTTTCGGAGAAAAACGAATCACTACACATCATAATAAAAACTCGTAGTATCGAGTGGAGAGCTGTCGAAAAAAAATATTGATAATGGCATATTCTTACTCAGTTCTACCTTGAATTTTGCATTATTTGCACTATCATAGAAAAAAAGAAAAACAATGCTTGAAAACTGCAGAACTGCACTCGAAACTACGAGTGCAGTGATTTTGTCATTGATTTTGTCATTTTTAAACAATGCATCAGGTGCAGAATCGTCTGCTCTATTAAAATTTCAAAACTCTATTATGCATTTCCGTTTGGTTGCTTATAATATTCAGGTTTTTCCACAAAAAACTCAGTTTTTGGAAACCTCAAAATTTTAGTAAAATATTTTTTTGCGTCTATTATTTTAACTTTAAAATATTTTTAAATATCAAAGTTTGTTCAATTTTGTTTGCTCTTTTGAATGGCATGTTGTTCAAAAAATCGAACGAAAACTGACGGTTTTATACATAAAAAAACTGAAATTGGTCAATTTTCGGGTTTTTTAGGCCTAGGTCTTGGGAAAACTTGATTCTCTCCAGAGCAAAATGACTTATAAGGTTTTAAAAAGTTTCGTCACCCCAGTTTTTCATGACGAATCGAATGATGTAACTCTTAACAAAATGTATTTTTCGCGATTGACAGGTATACTCGACAGGCTCGTGGAGGCTCTCGTAAGTGCGCATTGATTACTCCTTGATCTCGATCTTGTAACTGGGTATGATTCGCCAAACGGAAATGGACGAGCTATTGGTTTTAAATTTCTTTTGTCACATTTTTCTTTAATATCGTCGTCATCGAAATATTCGCTAAATATTCTTAAATTTATTCGAGTAAAACCTTCATTAGGTAAATTTGATAACTGAAACTATTTTTTCTTCATTTCATCATCTTTTGGTTAATGAGAAAAGCTATTGATTTTTTACCATGACCTAAAACACTGGCACTATCAGCTGAACGAGTACAAACATAACATACCTTCGGCATGTTGTACAATGTTTTATAAAATGTTGCAAGACAAAATATTTGTTATATGTATTTGATTTTTTTTTGATTTTATTATAGTATATAATTCTTATTCAAATCATAGATATTCATTAAGAGACTGTCTTTCATAGTAATAATTAATTTTATGTAAAGATATATAGGACAGTGGAACTATAGTTAGAAATAGAAAGCGGGAGCAAATTAAAGATGGGCCGTAATACGTAAGCGTTCAAAAAGCGGAACGAAAGATTATTCGTTGTTCACCATACCAAACTATGTTTCATTTGATAGCGAGTAAAGAATATTCGAATAATGAGTATAACAATACACGTCAGAAAAGAAAGAGAAAAGAACTCGAACGTATATGTTACAGTGGAAATTAAAATTTCAATCTTCTCTAGTGCAGATTAAAATGTAAATGCCTGCATAGGTGATAAAACATGGATTTTCATTAATTAACACTTCGAAGAAGAAATTTTAGTTTCCAAATTATTAGAACAAGATTACAGCATCCGGCGGGTATTTCCAGACGTAGGGATAAGCGAAAAACCAATATTCCACGAATAACAATCTGAAGTACTATCAAGCATTTCATATCGTAAAGGCTCTATAACAACGCTACGTTTTCGCTCACTCTCCCACCGGATGTTGTATTCTAGTTTTAATAATTTGGAAACTAAAATTTCTTTTTCAAAGTGTTAATTAATGAAAATCTATGTTTTATCACATATGCAGGCATTTACATTTTAATCTACACTGGTGGAGATCGAAATTTTAATTTCTATTAGTGAAATTGCACTGAATTTGAATTTACACTGTAACATACATATTAAATAAACAACAAGTCGAGCGGAAGGAATTCAAACATTGTACCGTAACAGTAAATTGGGTTTTTTGAATACAAGTCGAGTATCACTGATGGCTGCCTAATTAAAAGAGCAAGATAAAATCCATAATTATTCATGAAACCAGCGGATGGTAATTGTTTTTTGAAATGTCATGAACGTGGACTTATGATTCGACCAAATGACCAAAACATCTGTCAGCAAATACGGGTACTTTCACGCAGGTCGGCCCACTTTTTACAGAATTCTTTCCTGGCAAGATACTAGTTTTGCAGCCCGTGTCGAGTTGTGTAATAATTCATATTCAATTTTAGTTGGAATTATGCGATAACGGCTGGAGAGAGAGCTCAAAATCCGATTTTATCAAAAAACCACCCGGATATCTCTGTTTTATCTTTCCTAAACAGTTTTCGAAACATTTGAGTAGGTCATTCGATAGAACGTTAAAAGGAGGGGGCCGCATAAGACCGGGAATCGGCCCACTCTCTTTTTTGACTAAAAATGGATCCATATGTAGTAAAAAAGTGCCTCTATTCCGTTTTCGGTAAAATCAGATACTTTTGTCACGTAAAACCCGGTTAATTCCTGAACAATAGCATCTCAATAAGCACCGTTAAAAAGCCACCATATGATCAGTACAACAGATTTTCCTCAACTACCTTACACTGAAATGGCAAACTAAACACAGCATTAGATAGCCCGTGAAATTCTCTACAAACTGAGCTACTCAAGAGGTCTTCACTGGTCGGACCAGCCATCAAGGACATACAAAACAAGCATTCGAGGGCAGAACCAGATCTAAAATACTCCTTTCGTAATTTTTTCTGTCTTAATGAAAAACTATATATTTTTCAAAAGAACACCATTGGATAGCCCGTGAAATTCTCTACAGGCTTAGCTGGTCAAAATATCTAGACAGGTAGGACGAGTCATGAAAGATATGCAAAACAAGGTTTTGGGAGTTATATATGCAGCAGAGTGTTCCATAATCACAAGAACGGATTACCCGTAATCTACCGGGCTCTGATTCTGACACCATCCATGACGATAAATCTTTAAAGCAGCCGCAGCTTCTAGACCAAATGGTAAGAAGATCGACAAATTTCAGAATCGTACAACTTTGCATAGGAAATATCATCACGAAGAAAATTGCAATTAGTCTGCCCTGGCAACGATTTGAAACAGAGACCATACAAATCGAGGTCGACACACTCATCGGATCTCTGCCAGTGAAAAAGTGAACTGGGACTTTCTAGGCGTTTAGAACGACTAGATCAATCAACACTACATGAAAACGAAGTTCCATAAGGATTTTCACGTTCAGGTACTGGTCCACATTTGTACAGAAATCTTGTCCAGATTTAATACTTAAACACGTCTCTCTCTCATCTCATCTCATGAGTGTAAGCGAATCATGCGATTTTGATGTATCTTCGAGCTTTTCGTAAACATTTTGACCTGAACATGAATCATTGCTTAGTTATTGGGGGTCTGATGTCAGAGTATGGGCGTTCCATGGATTAAATCAAGAAAAATCATTTTGCTTAGAATTTATTTATTTGAGAAGGAAAATAAGTATTTCCTAATGTTTGGGTGCTGCATTTAAAACGGAAGTTGTGATTATGATGAAGAAGATAAATTATGGTTAATTAAGACAACAGCCACTGATAAAGGTTTTGAATTAGCTAATGAATATATTGAATATCAAAAGAAAAAAGTGGCCTAGTCGAATAGTTTTAATGTTTGGATATCTATTAGTTGGGTTGGGTAAATACGAAAAATCAGAAACATATTTTCGAAATATTTTACGGTCAAAACCGAATAATGAACAAGTCGCATGTCTATTTTATAATATGGGCCTTTCATATTGTCTCAAACGTGACTATCAACGTTCATTTGATAGTTATGAAAGAGCTTATAATATGCATCTAAATACGCGCCCAATACGTTTGGTTAGTGCAGCAAAAACATTAAATGGTATGGGTGTTGTTTACAGTGAACAAGAAAATTATATAAAAGCAATTGAATATTTTGAACTAGCATTAAAAATCTACAAAAAATACTTACAACATAGACATGCCGATATTGGTGGTACATTGACTAATTTGGGCAATGTTTATCTTGAACAGGGTAAATATGATCGTGCAGCTGAATATTTTAAAAAAGCTCAAAAATTAACGAATCATACGTCTCAATCATCCAAATATGGCATTGACATTAAACAATTTGGGTATAATTTATTTTGGTAAACAAGATTATTCAATGGCAATCGACTGTTATTAAAAAGCGTTGAAAATGAAAGGAAAAACTTTACCAACTGATCATCAGGATATTGCTCATAGTCTTCATAATATTGCACTTCTTCATTCGAATAATAATGAATATAAACTTGCACTTGAATTCCATCAAAAATCACTGGAAATGGCTGACCTATACTACCGATGAATCATCCATTTATACAAATATTAAAAATAAATATTGATCATGAAAAACAGAAAATAAGTGATTGTACCTATTTATGAGCGTAGGATATATACAATCAGCGTCGTGTTTTATTTATGTTTGTTTTACTTCAAAACTTATTGATCTAAATAAACAAATGGAGGGCTGTTAGAATACACAAAAAATGTGTAAAGTACTTTTCTCTACGAGGATGCACCAGCAGTCTTTTTCCTAGTTTTCCTTCCACTTTTCTACTCTTTTTTCTACTTTTCATACTTTTCAAACTTTTCATGGCTTTCATACTTTTCATCGCTTTCATCGCTTTCATACTTTTCATCCCTTTCACCGTTTTCATAGCGTTCATCGTTTTCATACTTTTCATCGCTTTCATCGTTATCGCCGCTTTCGTCGTTTTCATGCCGTTCATACTTTTCATGTCCCTTTTTTAGCGGTAATGCTTTTCATCGGTTTCATACTTTACATCGCTTTCATACCTTTCATCTCTTTCACACCTTTCATCGCCTTCATACTTTTCATCCGGGTCATCCGCTTTCGTACTGTTCATCCGGCTCATCCGCTTTCATACTTTTCATCGCCTTCATACTTTTCATGTCCCTTTTTTAGCGGTAATGCTTTTCATCGGTTTCATACTTTACATCGCTTTCATACCTTTCATCTCTTTCACACCTTTCATCGCCTTCATACTTTTCAAACTGTTCTGGTTTTCAGTTTTCATCGCTTTCATCTCTTCAGTCGCTTTCCTAGCGTATATCCGAGTCATCAGCTTCCATCATTTTCACACTTTTCGTGCGATGAAAGCGATGAAAACGATGAAAACAATGACAGCGATGAAAAGTACGGAAAGTAGAATAGTGTGAAAACGAATACGTCTCGAGTGTCAGGATCAGTGGACTTTTAACTGATACTTCCACGATAACAATATATTCATGCAGTGCATTTCATCTTACACATTTTTTGTGTATTCTAACAGCTCTGATGAATAAGAAGGGTTAGCAAAGGATTGATAGTGCATGATGACACCGAATATATGGTTCCAGTTTTTGATAGAGATTGTTAACTGACGTCATTTGTATGTAGGATATGCATCTTCGTTTAAATATTTTCGCTTGTAAGTCACATGACGAAATGGTTCGGTTAAAACAACATGGTTCGATATTGAACCATTTTGAATCGAAGGATGTTTTTTTGAAAACCCGAACCATTTTCACTCAAAATGAATTGGTCACCTTGACAGAATCTTGACAGAACCTCGGAGGTTCCTTCGCGCCGTTTACATCAAAATCCAATTCTCTGTAGGTGTTTACGCACGGATTTCTCAAGATCGAGTCTGGCACATTATAGGTAGAAAGTTGAATTCTCTAAAAGGACTTTCATTTTTCTACTACGCATCATTCTCTTTTCTGACTCACGAGGGAACCTTTCGAGGTGATTAAAAGCTTTTTGATCGACATCTAGTGGATTATAGGTTATCGACCATGCTGATTCCGAATATGATCATGGGACTGGCCCATAGTTCTTCGAAGATCCAGTCTTCTGGAAAACCAGTTTTTCAGAAATCCCAGAAAATAACTCAAGCCTTTCTTAATAATGCAGGATTGTAGCGCGCAAATTTTTCATTGAAATGATACATCTTCCAGCTCTACACGATCTTTCTTTCCAAAGTTCTAGAATTTATAAGGAGAGCCCTAAATTAATTCTTTCCTTCTTATTTTTGTAGCTTTGAGCTGACAATGAACAATTTACATCGAGACAAGGAAGAAACTATGTATTTCAGTATTTCAAAAATCGCTATGGAGCAGCCACAGGGTTCGCCATCACTTTAGAAAAAAAGCCTATATAGCTCTTTTGATATAACGAAGCATTAAGGCCGCACCCCCTCCCGGAATGTTGATTTTGGGTCAAATATTGACTTTTATATAATTATATGGGTAGATAGCCCGAATTTTTCTTTCACCCGGAGTTTGATGATTAGCACAAAAATCAGTCTTTTATTAGTATTTCTAAAATTAGGAATACTAGTAAAATCCGTGCGTAAACACCTACAGAGAATTGGATTTTGATGTAAACGGCGCGAAGGAACCTCCGAGGTTCTGTCAAGATTCTGTCAAGGTGACCAATTCATTTTGAGTGAAAATGGTTCGGGTTTTCAAAAAAACATCCTTCGATTCAAAATGGTTCAATATCGAACCATGTTGTTTTAACCGAACCATTTCGTCATGTGACTTACAAGCGAAAATATTTAAACGAAGACGCATATCCTACATACAAATGACGTCAGTTAACAATCTCTATCAAAAACTGGAACCATATATTCGGTGTCATCATGCACTATCAATTCTTTGCTAACCCTTCTTATTCATTTGTTTATTTAGATCAATAAGTTTTGAAGTAAAACAAACATAAATAAAACACGACGCTGATTGTATATATCCTACGCTCATAAATAGGTACAATCACTTATTTTCTGTTTTTCATGATCAATATTTATTTTTAATATTTGTATAAATGGATGATTCATCGGTAGTATAGGTCAGCCATTTCCAGTGATTTTTGATGGAATTCAAGTGCAAGTTTATATTCATTATTATTCGAATGAAGAAGTGCAATATTATGAAGACTATGAGCAATATCCTGATGATCAGTTGGTAAAGTTTTTCCTTTCATTTTCAACGCTTTTTAATAACAGTCGATTGCCATTGAATAATCTTGTTTACCAAAATAAATTATACCCAAATTGTTTAATGTCAATGCCATATTTGGATGATTGAGACGTATGATTTGAGCTATTTGTTATCCATATTTTGTATTTGAATGTTATTGTTGAGAGCAACACCTGAGTCTGAGTAAGTTTGCATCTAATCCAGATCGAAAATGCATAGAAAGTGAAACGTTTTATCTTACGACATCCGCGGCTGAGGAACATACACAAAAGTTAATTTTGCATTCTAAAGCATCTAAGAGTAGAACAGGTAACGACTAGGCGCTTCGAAGGCATAAGAAATCATTTTTCATGACCCCGTATTTCTTCGATGCAGAACGTATATTGATACGGGGTGTAAGTGAACGGCCAAAAGTACGGCTCGTACTCTTTCACAAGGGAACGGGTAGAATGTAAATAAATCAGCCTCAGTACGGGGTCTGGACCCCGTATAAAGTTTTGATACGAGGTCAGAACGCCCGTTCTAAAAAATTTTTAAGCTCTTGGGGCGTTTCGACGGTTTTTAGCAAAATCATATGCCACTTTCCTTAGGACACTTGTCGACAGAAATCCATTTGTTGATATGAGATTGCCAATATTATTCTTATATGTTTGAATTTCATTTTTCGATGCTTTAAGGCCACGATACAATGTTAAGCTGGTCAGTGATGATGATGATTTTATAAATTCTTTGTGTTTCAATGCAAGTTGTAAACACAAATCAGCAGTATAATATTTTAAAGAATATAATGCTTCAACGTCTTCTATACGTAATGCTTTATTAACAAGACGATAAATAAATGCATCTTTTGAGTACCATCGGATAGCTTCGCTGGATTTATATGTTTGTTCAAAATCGTCAGTATTATTCAATTCTTTTCGATTAGCACGATAATAGGCACGGCGTTTTGATATCATCTCCCGTTTGTCTTCATCAGCTCTTGGCATTGCCAATAAAATTTATTTAAATAATTGAAAAAACAAAAATGAACCCGAATCCTTTGTTAAATCTCTTACAGCTTTTGCTGTCTGATTGTATAAACTAAATACAGCTGTTTGATTTACCATCTGATTTATTGTTGTACATATTTCTGTTATTAAATCTTGTTGTTCTGTACAAAGAGCTACAATTTTTGGATAATCCGTGATAACGATTCATAGTTAGAGTGGGTCCGATACAAAAAAAATTGAAAAAACTTGCTCTAGAATATGAACTTTTGGTAGAATTTTTTCTGCAAGCTGACCATCAATAATAATGAATATTTTTTCTTCTTCAATTGACTGACTATATTTCAGACATTCATTTTCATCATCATACAACTGGACATAATCGTTAATAGATCTTAATAAATCTTTTAGTCTAATTAAATCAGAATATTCAGTTGCTTTATAATCGTAAAACAATATTAACGTTACGTCTTCTTCATTCCTTTCTAATCGTCTTCCATTGACATTTAGTAAATTAAGCGATTCTAGGTGTTGAACAATTGGTTTTGTAGGTTTTATTTTTCCAAACACTTTTTTCAACATTTTTGTGACGCAGGATATACAAGGCTCGGCGAGGCTATTAATCTTCAATGTATATGAGCTTCTGTCACAGAACATAAAATTAAAACCGGATCAGCTTTTACTTTGCTATACAATACCTGCAACGAACGAATATTAGGCCACATTCTTGCGAAAAGCCACTGAAACTTGGGCAATCCAATCCGACAGCCAGACAATCAAATACTTTTATCTGGGTCACCTGTTACTTCCAGAAAAGGGAATCATGCGTAGGAGAAAACTGAAAGTCGTTTTTAGAGAATTCAACTTTCTACCTGCAATGACCCTGAGAAATGCTTCCTTCACGGGAAAAATAGAAGTTTCTTATACTGTTTAACCATTAAACCGTTTGACTAACTTTTATCTGCGTCATCTTTTCATTCAAAAAAGGCAAGTTAGACGAAAAATGAATGTCATTATTTTCCAATACTAATTCTGTCTGTTCGAGCAAACTGTGTTTGAGCAAATTTCATTCGACCAAATTACTCCAAATCTTTTTTATTGTCTTCTCATGATGATCATTAGGCTATCATAGCCTAATGATCATCATGAGAAGCCAATGAGCAGCATAACGAGCAGCATAATCAAGAGAAAGGCATAGTATGCCTTTCTCTTGATTATGCTGCTCGTTATGCTGTCTGTATGTGCGGCTCTCTTTGTACGTCACGCTTTATGTCTCTGTCACTTATTATTTAGTGGTAGGTGCTATTTCAAAACCCGTGCGTAAGCAACCACAGAAAATTGGATTTTGATTCAAACGGTGCGACGGAACCTCCGAGGTTCTGTCAAGGTGACTGACCCATTTTGAGTGAAAACGGTTGGCTATTTCAAAACAAAAAATCCATGTATTCAAAATAGTTCAATATCGTACCATCTTGTTTTAACCGAATCATTTCGTCATGTGATTTGCATGAGCAAGCGAAAATATTTAAACGAAGACGCATACCTTACATATAGATATCTCTATCGAAATACTAGAACGAATGAGCTGTTGGATATACACTGGAACAAAAATAAAAAGAATTCACAGCTTGGTTGCAGTGTGTGGGCCTCGATTTGTATGGTCTCTGTTTCAAATTGTTGTCAGGACAGACTAATTGCAATCTTTTTCGTGATTATATGTCCTATGCAAAAGTTGTACGATTCTGAAATTTGCCGTTCTCCGTACCATTTGGTTTAGAAGCTCCGGCTGCTTTAAAGGTTTATCATCTTGGATGTTGTCAAATCAGAGTCCTGTAGGTTACGCGGAACCTGTTCTGTCCTGCAGATCAGAAGAGGTTTAGTTTATGACTTCGCAGTTAAGGACATGTTATAGGTTACGAAAATTTTTACAGGGCAGGTTACAGGTTACGCTGTCCGTTAGAGGCCTGCGAGACCAAACGGTTTTGGTCCCAGTCCCGTGAAGAAAAATACTTATTGTCCCGCTCCCGTGATTTTTTCGAAGTAGCGCCGACAGCTTGAAGGTCAGCGGGTTGTAATGTGGCTCGTGAAACAGCATGCGTGGGTGGTATAGAATTTTCCATATATCAGTCCCATCTCGCAGAACTGATATCTACGTACAAAAAACCATAGAAAGTAAGAAATTTTTAGGCACCATACTAGACTATTTTCAAAAAAACCTGGTCTTCATCACATTAAAAGTCCTGCAGTACCGGAACCATCCCGCAGATCTCTAGACCCCGGTCCCGGTCCCGTAAAAACTTCTGCGGGACCGAGACAGTCCCACAGACCTGTACCGTCCCTAACCTGTTTTCAGCTTGCAAAAAATATATAAAGCGTCAAGCTGTTACACATGTTTTCGCGTAAACAACTTATTTTTTGATAAAAGTTAATAGTGATTTCAAACTGAATTTTATGGCCCGATCGGGATATAACGGATGCGCCATAAATAACTGCGCTGTTAGTAATTTAAATCTTTCTCCTCTTCCTTAGACTCAGTCGAACTGATTGTACTACCAAAAGATTCCCGGTTCAATTCTCTGCAAAATGGTATATAAATGACAGAAATTTGAGACGTTGTTTCAGCTAAACAAAATGTGATGTACCTCGAGAACGTGAAAAATTCAACTAAAAAAAGGAGTATTTCGCCGATAATAAATCAAATTGTTTAATCGTGTCGCACCGAATATGCAGAATTGTAGCCCTGGAAATTCTCTATTTATTGGCAGCTAAGACGAATTTCTTCCCTTTATTTTGCGCTTACAATCATGGTTTCCGTAAAGGTCCTATCATTGCTTTTTCGAATTACGTGTTAGGGCTATTCGCAGATTGATCATATTTCGGACAAAAGTGAACCAATTAAGCTCGCTCAGGTGTCATTTGGGAAAGAACATTTTTCCCTACTAAATTCACATATAAACAGTATGAAATAATTTTGTTATCATCACATTGACATTTCGCTGATTTATTACGGCAAGTAATTATTTAGCCATTTTTACCGGACTGACGCAAGAAGGGGAAATGAATTCTGTTCTGTCAAATAGAGAACATCTGAATGTGTAGAGAAGCAACTTAGGATACGGCTTGTATCACTCTTTTAGCATAGATTTAAAGCTTAGTAGAAAACGATTACATTTTGTTTAGCTGAAACAACGTCTCAAAGTTCTGGCTTGTCGTTTATATGCTATTTATAGAGAATTGAACGGGGAATCTTTTGGTAGTAGAATCAATTCGACTGAATCTAAGAAAGAGGAGAACGATTTAAATTACTAACAGCGCAGTTATTTATGGCGCACCCGTTATAACGTACGAGATTTTATGACTGCAAAAATATAAACGAAACAACAGCTGATCTATTACGTTCTCATTCAAAGAATAAGTTACTTACGTTAAAACATGTTGAATTACCAAGAAAACAGATTGTTAGGCACTTTTGCTGCTCTCTTTGATGGCGAAGTCAAAACTTTCTGACAACGTCAGATTTTCTTCGCTAACGAACTTTATTGGAAAAAATAGTGTTTTATATCTCGATCAGGCCATCAGCCAGAAACAGTCATCCGCATGAATCAGATAGAAAAGGCGTCGATCTTGTTATATCCTACAATTAAACGTTTTTGCGATCCTGAGCCCAAATGAAATGAAACCTTAATAGTGTAATGTAGCGCCTAAGCCGGTAACGATAGAGACAACAAAAATGACATGAAAACGAAAATTTACATGTAATGCAGAGTAGCCTAGAACTGAAAAAAACAATGCTTTCTCTGCAGACACCGAGATTCGAACTTGGGATCTTTGGATTGCGTGACTGACACTCTACCGTGTCATTATCCATCCTATTACTGTAGATCAGACATTTATGAATGTCACTTATCCTATACTCTACTATTTTATATTGTTTCTAGATTAATTTATTTAATTATCTATTTTTTGAATTTCTATGCGCACTCGCTGCCTTTCACTGCCACTAACTCAGTTGTAACTACGCTTCATTTACCTCCGTCTGAAGCAACGTCCATTTTTTTTAAAAAAGAAATGAGGGACATGTTTTTTTCTAAAGCAATTGAAACTCAGAATGAGTGTTGCCGCAATACTCCGAAGTTCCGTGTATTTTACTTTCAATATAAAATTCCTGATGTTTAGTATTCAATAGTAATGTGTTTTTCACCTTCGGTTGTGCAATTACGTGAGGATCGAGAGTCGTTGCACGGTAACTAAAGAAGAGAAAAAAGTAAAAACAAAGGACAAAGCAGAAAAAATCGATGATTCAGTCATTCTGTTTTCTTTCGTTTATTCAGCAACCTTCTCGACATTCAAGGTACATTAG